AGCAGGCGGTGACATGACGTCATTTGTGGGGAACGATAACACTCCCCTCCCACAATGAGCGGCTCCGTACGTGAATATATTATGTTAATGAACCCGGCCCATATGTTCATAGTTCATTTAGTTCATAGTTCATTTATTTGGTATAGCCCTGTGAGCCATTCGGCTCTTGAATCGGGTGCAACCGCAACAAACAAAAAACATGAACAAGAAAACATCTTAAAGTGACTTTATGTGACTGTGCAAACAGAAAATCCAGGAAAAAATTATCAAAATATTCCTGAAATAGCACCGTACACCAACGCTGTGTGCAAAAATCCCAGTGGGATGCAATTCAAATAACAACAACAACAACCACAAGACAACTAAGATTAAGGCCATCAGTCTAACTCCGTACTACAATAAACAAAAACATGGCCAAAACAAAAAAACTTTTCGAAATCACCAAAATAAAAGCCATAAATCCAATGTAACAGTGATTATAAAAACTGTGACCGAATTTTTTACAATAAACTACATAAATAAATTATAACACCAAAATCTAGAGCCATATTTTAGGCCACTGAATAGCAGTGGCAGCTAGGGGTGTACAACTCCTCTAGAGCAGTTTTGAGTGAAGATCTCATAGGTAGTGATTCAAGTTGTAGTTTATTGACAATAGCATTCCAGACCCTGGGGGCATCAATATCAAAGGCCCTTCCTCCGGTTTTTGTATGGCAATAGGGAATGTGAACCTGGTAGATGAGCGAAGACCTGAGGTCAAATTTGTTCTTTGAAACAGAGAGGAGATCCAGTAGGTAGTCTGCGGATTTTTTTGTAAGTACATCGTGAATAAATAAAATCTGGTGTACAAGCCGTCAAACATTAAGAGATGTTAAGTTTGACCCAATGTAGAGATCACAGTGGTGAGTCCTGTATGGGCAGTTCAATGCAAATCTTAAGGCCGAGTGATAGATGGAATCAAGCTTCTTCAGTACAGTACTTGGGGCTGATTTATACACGATGTCACAGTAGTCAAGTAGAGGCAGTATGGTAGCTTTTATCAATTCCAAACGGAACATAGGGGGGAAGCAGTGCTTGTGTCGATACAGTAAACCAATTTTTAATATAGTCTTTTAACCAATATAATCAATGTGATCTTCAAAATTCAGTTTTGAATCCAGGATGACCCCAAGATACTTATAGAACTTGACTTGCTCTATTTGATCATTATTTAAGGAATGTAGTTTGGAAAAAATAACTTCCTGCTTTAATCCCGGTGAGAAGCATAGCACCTTGGTTTTGGAGGTATTTAGGACTAGTTTAAGAGAAACTAGCTGATGTTGTAGTTTGTTGAAATCACCCTGGAGCTTAGCAATCACGTCATCTGGAGAGCGGCCAGCAGTAATCAGTATCGTGTCATCTGCAAAAAGATTTACCCTGGAATGATCCAGTTCAGTGCCCAAGTCATTGACATAAAGAGAGAACAAGAGGGGGCCGAGGATGGAACCCTGTGGAACCCCATTTTGTTATCTTAACACTGTGAGACCTCCAACCATCTATGAATACAGTTTGGGTGCGAGAAAAGAGGTATTTTTTAAACCATTTTTCTGTGTTTTTGGAAAAACCGAGGCAACTTAGTTTACTAAGCAGGGTGTTGTGGTCTACTGTATCAAAAGCTTTGGACAGGTCAAGAAAAAGACAGGCACAGTACTGCTTATTAGCAAGGCTACTGTAAATTTGATTCAGAGAATCTAATGCAGCAGATGTGGTGCTGCATTTTTTTCGGAACCCAGATTGTTTTAGATGTAGTAGATTGTTGGTGGACAAGAAACTGCTAATTTGGTAGTTCAATAATTTTTCAAAAAATTTTCATCAATGGGGACAAAATTGAGATAGGTCGGTAGTTATTGGGATCAATAATTTGCATGAGCAGGGGTGACTCCCAATACATTATCAAAAATATTACCAGCTTCAGAAAAATGAAGGTTAAAATTGTCAACTATTTTTTTGGGATCTGAAAAATATTCTCCATTTCGGTTAAGCTCAAAGGGCAGATTGTCTGTTTTGGATGCCTTTTCGATAGATTTGATTGTTTTCCAAAAACATCCTGGAATTTCCATGTGATTTCAGGAGAGTGGAGGAAAAGTAGGCATTTTTTGCATGCCGTATTTTTTTTACACATCTATTCCTTAAAATCCTGTATTCTAGGCAGTCATTTACCAAATTACTTTTCTGAGCACATGCCCAAGCCTTGTCCCTAGTTTTCATGAGCTTTGTAATCAAAGGATCATACCATGGTGGGCGGTTGCCTTTAGTTTTAAATCTAACCAACGGAGCATGTTTGTTAAGAATTTGGAGAAACGTGTACCTGAAAGTCTCCCAAGCCGTAGTCAGGTTGGGGATATCACAGAACTTAGCAAAATCCGAGTGAAGCACATCATTTGTAAATGCCTGAGTGCGGAAGTGCCTCAAAGAGTGCTTCTCAACAATTTTAGGGGGGGCTTTGGGTCTGGCTGATGATCTCACCCCAAAAATGAAGGAGTGATCACTAAGGTTATTACCCAGAACACCAGTCAGTGTGAAATTGTGAGGGCCATTTGTCAATTGGACGTCAAGCAGCGTTGACTGTCCCAGATTTTTTAGGTTGGGTCTTGTGGGGACATTTATTAATTGAAACAGGTTAAATTCATCTGTAAAATTTGTGGCCACGGCCGGCGTGTTTAGCCAATTCCAATTTAGATCACCCACTAAAACTATTTCACCTTTAGGGAGGCCCCCAAAAAGCTCTCTCAATGCCAATGCAGCTTCAACATCCTTCCAACAAGGCGGTCTATAGCAGCACACTACCAATATCTGTTGATTATTTGGGAGAGTTATTCTGAGAGCCAAACCTTCAAAGCAACATTTTTTAAACAAGGAGTGAGATGGTGAACATATAATAGTATTACGAACATAGATGGCAATGCCACCTCCTTTAGATTCTCGGTCAAGCCAAAAAAGGTTGTAGTTGTCAATCGTAATCTGCAAGTCATTGACCGCAGGAGTGAGAAATGTTTCTGTTAGGCAAAAAATGTCCGGGTCAAGATTTGCCACTTCTAGTTTTAGTTGACTTAATTTAATCACAAGCCCTCTGATGTTGACATGTAGAACACCAACACCTCTCCTGCCAGAAAAATCTACAGAATTACACAAGTTCTTTTCATTTGGGCCAGGATGAAGCTCAATACCACCCAGAAATAAGAAAAGTAGAATTAACAGTTTGCACAAGTATTTTCTGTGAAAGGATGAAGAGCGGGGAACCTTGGACGAATAGCAGCAGCTCGCAAATGGTGTTAAAAAGGATACAATGATGGAGTGTACAAGTGTCTATGAGCTGTTTCATTTGCAGGTGTAGTGCCAAATCGAGCAACAAGTATTGACGCAAAATAACGAGGGTAGCCGTTTGTGGAGTTGAGTGTGGCACTAGATATGTCCGGGAGGGACAGCAGTATGATACGGAGCATCGGGAGCTTGCGTGGAGGCGTCGTTCGTGTGCAATTTTTTTCGTGACTTTCCTGGCCCAAAGCCATAAATGGTTGTGAGGGGCGCTGCAGGCGGTCAGGCTTGCTTCAACCCTTGGTTGTGAACATCCAGACGTTAATCAGCAAGGAGCATTTCTCGTCCTAATTCGACAAAATCTACGTCAATACGTAACACAAAATTATAATTCGTGTTGTAGAGAATGTACCTCCTCTACGTGTAAGTTTTGAGTGGTATGCCTTGTAATTGATGAAGGATCAGAGTGTGATCCCTATTTCAAAGACAATGAGTTGCTTCAGAGGGAGATGCTTTCTGAAAACGCAAAAATACCCTTTGACCTGTATCACATGAACAATGAGTCTCACCTGAGTTATCTGTACAGGTTACTTCCAAACACACACTTTGTCCTAACATCACTTATTTAATGTTTGACCCTTATAGACAAAATCTTACATATACGCACACAATCAGCCAAGTATTCATTATAAATTATTGACAGGAATATTAACAAAATTGTATTACTACAGTGTAATATACTGCATCAGGTTACATCGCATCAACAAGAAGCTATTTAAAAAAATACACACCGTCTGCTTAACAGTGTATGTACAACATACTATTGAGCCATTCAAAACGAGTAGGCCATTTCATGCTGGCATCTGGGTCAAAATTGATCAAATTCTAAACATTACCTACAAACTCCACAACCAAGATGCCACATCAACCATCGCCCCCTACTGACAGGCTCTTGTCCACATGCAGGCCGGTGCAGGGCCACCACCTTGTGCCACACAGGGGCAGCTGCTACTTGGGGATGCTCTTCGAGTGTTTGAGACGAGATACGATACAAAACTCCGAATTGCCAGAGGTGATTAAGCAAGCACCATATAAATGGAATTATTAGAACCTAGTTAATGCTTGGGAGCTTCTTGGTTCTCGCTCCTGGTTCGAGATCTACCCAACCCACAGGTCCACAAAGACTGGCCGCTCTTACCCTGCAGGTTGAACCTAGGAATTGAGTGTTCAACTTCACATTCTTGTCATTAAAGGCCTGTGACAAAGGTGCATCTATTGGAGCGACATCGTCTCTGCCTTACACATCTACCGGGTCTCCATTTGACTTTGTATTGTCTAGGAAGTCCACCCACACCTCCACTTCCACAAACTGCTGGGAGTTGCCTCGCTCTGCCTCACAGTCAGAATTCTCCTCCTGCTTCACGTTGCCTCCATCGATGTTAAGGTCCCATTGTGGAGTTGAATCTTCATCTTCACATTTTACCTTCACTTCTTCGCTCTTCACCATCACTTCTTCACATTTCACCTCTTCATATTTCACCTCGATACCTTTAAAAGTGTCCAAGCTGGAATTTTCTTCCGGTTCTTGTTTCATGAGGGATAGGCTCATTGCGGCACTTTGACTTTCACAAGCTGATTTCAGACTCCACTTCTTGTGGATCTTCTGATGCTTGTGTGTTCTCTGGTGTCTTTGAAGATGTGGTGACTGTGAAAACGCCTTCCCACACACACTGCACTTGAAGGGTTTCTCTCCCGTGTGTGTTCTCTGGTGTACTTGAAGATGTGGTGACCGTGAAAACGCCTTCCCACACACACTGCACTTGAAGGGTTTCTCTCCTGTGTGAGTTCTCTGGTGTGTTACAAGAGTAGATGAACGTGAAAACGCCTTTCCACACACACTGCACTTGAAGGGTTTCTCTCCTGTGTGAGTTCTCTGGTGTTTTATAAGAGGAGATGAATGTGAAAACGCCTTCCCACACACACTGCACTTGAAGGGTTTCTCTCCCGTGTGTATTCTCTGGTGTTCTTGAAGATGTGATGACTGTGAAAACGCCTTCCCACACACACTGCACTTGAAGGGTTTCTCTCCCGTGTGTGTTCTCTGGTGTATTACAAGAGCAGATGACTGTGAAAATGCCTTCCCGCACACACTGCACTTGAAGGGTTTCTCTCCCGTGTATGTTCTCTGGTGTTTTTGAAGAGTAGCTAACTGTGCAAACGCCTTCCCACACACACTGCACTTGAAGGGTTTCTCTCCTGTGTGAGTTCTCTGGTGTGTTACAAGAGTAGATGAACGTGAAAACGCCTTCCCACACACACTGCACTTGAAGGGTTTATCTCCTGTGTGTGTTCTCTGGTGTCTTTGAAGATGTGGTGAATGTGCAAACGCCTTCCCACACACACTGCACTTGAAGGGTTTCTCTCCTGTGTGTGTTCTCTGGTGTGTTAAAAGAGCAGATGACTGTGAAAACGCATTCCCACACACACTGCACTTGAAGGGTTTCTCTCCCGTGTGTGTTCTCTGGTGTATTTGAAGATTTGATAACTGTGCTAACGTCTTCCCACACACACTGCACTTGAAAGGTTTCTCTCCCGTGTGAGTTCTCTGGTGCAAGGTCAAATTTCCAGTACGATCCGTGCTGTATGCACACCGGTCGCAATGATGCCTTTTTGTACCGAGCTGCGCCGAGTGCCTTTGCTCCATCAGACAAATTCTGCAGAGGAAGCAACAGAGGAAGCGTCAGCTGCAGACAGAAAAAAATAATGTCCACACCATCTACATGTCAGTATTGATGCACAGAGGAATGCATACACACAGTAACACGTGACTAACATGTCTAAACTTATTCATAATTTCATGATATAGTGAAAAAGTGTCCCAAATTCATCACACGGGCTGTTATGGCACACAATGAGAGGGCAAATGTCATAAATGTGTCTGGAAGCCCTAGCATCTTCAAAATGAATGTTAACCCAAAACTCCGAGCACACAATTTCGGCTGTCTGGCTTCAAAAGGAATATTTATGAAAACTAAATTCAGCTGACATAGCAAAGGGTGTTGAAAATAATACTATTTGTGTTATGCAGAAATGCATAAATTAATGTTCAATCACAACTTAGAGTTGTGAAGCCAGGCACAGATGTCCTTGAATGCTGGGATGAACAGTTCCGACTTCAGCTGCACATGTGCTGTGATAACTTCCTGACTCCATTCTTACAAAGAGTTTTAGAGAAAAACAAAAATAAACTGTTTTGATATAACCTCCACGCTCAATAGCATTAATAGACTTTACTGCAAATACAAACTTGACCCTGTCACACACTCAGAGGTGGAGCCAGGATTTTAAGGTAGGAGGGGCAACCCCTTCAGCAATGAAAAATGATAGGAGTTGTTAGTAAGTAAGGAGTTGTTCGTAAGGAGTTGTTAGTAAGGAGTTGTTGGTAAGGAGTTGTTAGTAAGTAAGGAGTTGTTAGTAAGTAAGGCATTGTTACTTAGTAAGGAGTTGCTAGTTAGTAAGGAGTTGTTAGTAAGGAGTTGTTAGTAAGGACTTGTCCTATGCTTTTTATTCGACGCCTGTGATATGCATCGTGCTCGCTGAAGGTGTTTGCCATCAGGGAAGTCGTGTACTGTATACGCAACTGCACACAATTGTGAATGTGTGTCTGTTTGAAATGTTCAGCATACTTCCGAACATGCTACAAACTTGAAATTTGTAATGTGGGTAGCTTCCAGACTGGACACAATGCACAAAGTATTAAAATATATTTTTGTATTTTGGGGGAGTGGGGGAAATGACCATGGAGTGTGTGGCGTCAACCCGCAACACAGATAAGGGAATATGAAATTTGAAATTCATCCAAGACAAGAATCCAAGTCCCGGGCGAAGCCGGGTAGTGAAGCTAGTTTCTAATAAACCCCAATGATCCGATCGAAATTAGGGATTTCAATCAGACCGTTGGGGGGGTACGTGCCACCCCACCCCCACTGGCTCCACCACTGTCACACACTGGCATGGTTCACAGGTGGTGGTGTGTCCAGACCCACGCCTGGCCACCTTCACCTGCTCAAAATTCATGCTTCCTCACTCCACCAAGTAGAGTGAACACCACCACGCGTCTACAGTAAACACCACCACGCGCCCAGAGTGAACACCGCCACCCGTCTAGAGTGAACACCGCCACGCGTCTAGAGTGAACACCGCCACGCGTCTAGAGTGAACACCGCCACCCGTCTAGAGTGAACACCGCCACGCGTCTAGAGTGAACACCACCACGCGTCCAGAGTGAACACCGCCACGCGTCTAGAGTGAACACCACCACGCGTCTAGAGTGAACACCGCCACGCGTCTAGAGTGAACACCACCACGCGTCTAGAGTGAACACCGCCACGCTGTTCACGAGCCTCACCTTGTGTTGTGGGCAGATCGCTTCCGAAAACAAAAGCGGTACAGCAGCTCAAGCGGGCTTGGCCTGGTAAAAAAGAATGAAATAAAAACTGCGTGAATATTTAAAAGTAAAACAAAGTGACAAAGTGGCGAGCCGAGTGAAGACAAATTAAACTTAAGCGAGGGAATTGAAGCAAACGCGATCAGGCGAGGGCAGGAGGCAAGGCCCCGTGTGGTTAGGCCCCGCGCTGTAAAGTTCCAACCTGGACATCGCTTCCATGCTCGCTGCTACTCAATTGACATCCCTACGAGAGAGAGCGAGGCTCTACCTCGGTAAACAACAACAACAACCACCACAACAACCACCACAACAACCACCACCGCCACCACCACCACAACAACCAACACCACAAGAACCACCACAACAACCACCACAACAACCACCACCACAACAACCACCATCACCACCACCACCACCACCACAACCACCACAACAACCACCACAACAACCACCACCACAACAACCACCACCACAACCACCACAACAACCACCACAACAACCACCACCACCACAACCACCACCACAACAACCACAACCACCACCACAACAACCATCACAACCACCACCACAACAACCACCACAACCACCACCAAAACCACAACAACCACCACAACAACCACCACCAAAACAACCACAACCACCACAACAACCACCACAACAACCACCACCACAACCACAACCACCACCACAACAACCACCACAACAACCAGCACCACAACAACCACCACCAAAACCAGAACAACCACACCACAACAACTACCACCACAACCACTACCACCACAACCACCACCAATACAACCACCACAAACACCACCACCACAACCACCACCAAAACCACAACAACCACCACCAAAACCACCACCACAACAACTACCACCACAACCACCACCACAACCACCACCAATACAACCACCACCAATACAACCACCACAAACACCACCACAAACACCACCACAACCACCATCACAACCACAACCACCATCACAACCACCACCACAACGACCACCACCACAACCACCACCACCACAACCACCATCACAACCACCACCACAACCACCACCAATACAACCACCATCACAACCACAACCACCATCACAACCACCACCACAACCACCACCAATACAACCACCACAAACACCACCACCAATACAACCACAACAACAACCACCACCACAACAACCCCCACAACCACCACCACAACAAGTAAAACAAAGTGACAAAGTGGCGAGCCGAGTGAAGACAAATTAAACTTATGCGAGAGAATTGAAGCAAACGCGATCAGGCGAGGGCAGGAGGCAAGGCCCCGCGTGGCTAGGCCCCGCGCTGTAAAGTTCCAACCTGGACATCGCTTCCATGCTCGCTGCTACTCAATTGACATCCCTACGAGAGAGAGCGAGGCTCTACCTCGGTCAACAACAACAACCACCACAACAACCACCACCACAACAACCACCACCACAACAACAACCACCACAACAACAACCACCACCACAACCACCACCACCACAACCGCGATGAGAATTTCTGACCTCGGATTTCAGTGCACGGCGGAGCAGCAGCTTCCTGTTATCTCGTGACGTCACGCAGCAGCAGAAGTTGACATGACGTCACTTGCGGGGAACAAAACACTCCCCTCCCACAATGAGCAACTCTGTTACTTAAATAAATTATGTTAATGAGTCTGGCCCATACGTGGAGGGATGGGGCGTGGGTGCCGAACTCGTCGCAATAAACTCGCGACGGCTTTCATGAATATATTATGTTAATGAGCCGCCAGTCACCGGGAGTAGCTTTGCCCAAATAAGGATTGTACTTCAACACGTGATGATGACCGTTTGTGTTATGGTCGAAACGTCGTGAGAATTTTTATTGTTTTATATATATTGTATTATTTTATTGTTTCCCTTCAACGTGACTTTACCGAAAGAGCTAAGAATATGAATTACAGCAGTCACGAAAGCTTTAAATCAAAATTTAATCGCCTCTACGGGGAGGGTTTCCACATAACTTTAAGATCTTTCAACAAACTCCGGGATAAGAAGGCTCAGCTGATCGAGTCTCTCACCTTTCTGAAGAGATGCCGCGACTCTGGGGTAATACCAATCGCATTTACACTGACCTCTGCTGCTGTAACTTCTTCTAATGCTAAACGAATTCTTTTCAAAACTAGCTTAGCTCTTATCTCAGAGAAAATCAGATTATACGCACCGAACTAGATCAGTTAGACAAGACACTCTACGAATAACACTTATCATTGAGGGCAACAATGTCCACATCGGATTGGGAACATGTAGACAATATGACTGCCTCTTCAGCTGCTACTATGTCGACCAAATGTAAGGACAACCTGATTTCCAAATTTAACCTCCTCTTCAACAAAAGACTGGACCCACACACCAAAAAGCTAGATGTTAACAAAGTCGTAATTAATCGCAGTAACAGTTCTATTTCCAATGGTCTGAAATCCGTTTTAGCTAAAGGTCTAAACTTTGCAGTCACACCTAAACACATACCAGTTAATGAAATCATTGCCCAAGTAGACGTTGCTCTCAGGGGCCCGGGTCACATCACTGCAGACGTAGCAAGATCTGAAATCGCTGCAACTCTCAAAAACGCTAAGATGCCAGCTAGCAACCTCAGCAAAGATGAGCGTTTTGAATTATAGAAATTAAAAAAGAGGGATGACGTTGTAGTCCTCTCAGCTTACAAGAGCAATGCTACTGTCATCATGGATAAACTAAAATATAACAACAAAATTAAAGAATTACTCGACGATGGCAGCTATGCAAAAATAAAAAGAGATCCCACCAACAGCCTCGTCACACAAACCAACAAAATAATTTCTGATTCAACCGCATTAATTTATCAATCTAAACAGTTTTCGTTGAAACCATCTGCTGCCAGGCCACCAAGATTATACGGCTTACCAAAAATACATAAAGTAGATACACCCCTTCGTCCCATCGTCTCTACTATCAACTCCCCCCACATACAAACTGGCTCGTTATTTGTCTGAAATCCTGTGTCCTTTCACTTGAAAAACCACCTCTGCGGTACAAAATTCTACTCACCTGGTAACGACAATCAAGGGTATTTCCCTGTCCCCAGACGACCTGCTTGTCAGTTTTGATCTAGTTTCCTTATTCACCAAAGTTCCTATACCTGACACTATCGCAATCATTGAAGACTTGGTTCATCAAGAACTAAACACTGAGGTACCCCCCCTGGTGAGACACTGCTTAACCAATACATACTTCACTTGGAATGTAACTTTCTACAAACAAACTGAGGGCACCCCAATGGGCTCCCCCCTATCTCCGGTTATAGCTAACATTTTCATGGAGAAATTTGAGACTGACGCCATCCAGACTGCCACTCTGCGCCCAACCTTATGGAAGAGGTACGTGGATGACACTTTTGTCATCTGGCCACATGGCCGGCCTGCTCTAGACCAATTCTTCGACCACATCAATTCCATACACGCAGCCATCAGATTTACCATGGAAGTTGAAAATGATGGCAAGCTACCTTTTTTGGATGTCCTAATAAAAAAGAGACCTGATGGTTCAATGAGCCACTCTGTCTACAGGAAAGCTACCCAAACGGATGCTTATCTGAAACCGGATTCCTTCCACCATCCATCACAGAAGAATTCTCTCATCAAAACTCTGTATCATAGAGCCCAATGCATATCCGACCAGGAACACATAGGCAGTGAACTCAAGCACGTACACCAAGCTCTTAAGGCTAATGGTTACTCCGACTATGCAATCCGCAAAGCTATCACTCAAACCATGAAGAAGGACCCTCTTGAGGAGCCTTTCAAAACCAACACTTTACCCTACATTGCGGGGATCACAAAAAGATCTCCAAAATCTTGAATAAACACAAGATCCAGGTCCGTTTCAACACATTACATAAAATCCGTGATCTGGTTCTGTCTGTAAAAGATGTGATTCCGGACATACAGTACCCTGGTGTCTACAAACTAAGTTGCCTCTGTGGTAGTAGTTACATTGGAGAAACCAAACGCCATGTCTCAGACCGCATTCGTGAACACAAAGCAGACCTTAAACACGGTAGGACCAACACCTCGGCCGTGGCAGATCATTGTTATAATTCAGTAGGCTCACATGACATTGACTTTTCCAAGACAGAGGTTCTTTGTAAGCCATCTGGCTACCATGAGCGATTCGTTCATGAGGCTATCCACATAAACAAGCACAGAGACAATTCCAACCGAGAAGATGGATTCTGGCTTAGCAATCATTGGAAAGATTTGATAAACCATTTCAGGTCTTAATTGATTGTTCACTTACAGCGCCTTTCAGACAGCATACATTAATTTTTCGTCTCCCCCCTCCTCTTCTCAGAACATAGATGGACTCGTCCCTCTAAACAAACTGCCAAATCTCTGCGCGTGGCGCTGACGTTTTTTATAAATAAATACACCGTTTAAAAATAAATAAATTAATGCAAACCGACACACCTGATGACGACCGTTTGTGTTATGGTCGAAACGTCGTGAGAATTTTTTATTGTTTTATATATTTTATTATTATATTGCTTTCCTTCAACGTGACTTTACCGAAAGAGCTAAGAATATGAATTACTGCAGTCACGAAAGCTTTAAATCTTTCATACTCTTTGGTTCTTGCGGTAAAGTCACGTAGGTAGAAAAAATAAAATAAGAAAAAATAAATCGCGACGTTTCGATCGCAACACGAGGGGTCATGCTCAGGCGAAAACATCCAGACATTGTCGCGACAGAAGTCACGTGAGCTGTGTCACGTGACAAAGATGAGGTGACCCCCCCCCCAAACCCACCGTGGCTCGCCCAGCTCAGCTGAGCATTGTTTTAATGCGGTGGGCTCACTCAAAATTAATTTCTGTAAGACGAAGGTACTTTGAAAACCCACTGGCTATACTCTTTTATATAAGTGCACAACTTCATCTGTGATGAAGGCTGCACGTTCCGTCGTTTTCATGCAGGAGGTGCTGTAAACCTACAGACCCCCTGCATGAACGACGGAGGTGCAGGGACAGACGTTCGATCGCGTTGGAATCGATCTGCAGACGGCGGTCTTCTCGCACGGCCAGCTCTGTGTCGCCTCATCTCGATCCCGCGATCCCAACCAGCTGAAAGTCCGCGTCGAACCGAACCCCCGGCAAGGCCATCTACTTAACGACGAGGGAAAATTCACACGAAATATCGTTTTCAAGTAATAAGCTTTTAATGAATAAATACAATTATCTAATTCAAAACATAATACAATTCAAAGTTGTTTCATTTTAAAACTTCAAAACGGAGCATCGGGAGCTGCGTGGAGGTGTCGTTCGTGTGCAATTTTTTTTGTGACTTTCCTGGCTCAAGGCCGTAAATGGTTGTGAGGGGCGCCGCAGGCGGTCAGGCTTGCTTCAACCCTTGGTTGTGAACATCCAGACGTTAAACAGCTTGGACCATTTCTCGTCCTATTTCGACAAAATTTTACATCAACACGTAGTACAAAATTATAATTCGTGTTGTAGAGAATGTATCTCCTCTACTTGTGATTGATTAATGATCCGAGTGTGCTGCCTATTTCAAAAACAATGAGTTGCTCCAGAGGGAGATGCTTCCTGAAAACAGAAAAATACCCTTTCCCCTGTATCACAAGAACAATGAGTCTCACCTGAGTTGTCTGTACAGGTTACTTCCAAAACACACACTTTGTCCAAACATCACTTATTCAATGTTTGACCCTTATAGACAAAATGTTACATATACGCACACAATCAGACAGGTATTCATTATAAATTATTCACAGGAATATTAACAAAACTGAATTACTGCAGTGAAATATACTGAATCAGGTTACAACGCATTAACAAGCTATTTTAAAACATACGCTTAACAGTGTATATACAACATACTATTGCGCCATTCAAAACGAGTAGGCCATTGCATGCTGGCGTCTGGGTCAAAATTGATCAAATTCTAAACATTACCTACAAACTCCACAACTGAGATGCCACATCAACCATCGCCCCCTACTGACAGGCTCTTGTCCACATGCAGGCCGGTGCAGGGCCACCAACTTGTGCCACACAGGGGCAGCTGCTACTTGGGGATGCTCTTCAAGTGTTTGAGACGAGATACGATACAAAACTCCGAATTGCCAGAGGCGATTAAGCAAGCACCATATAAATGGAATTATTAGAACCTTGTGAATGCTTGGAAGCTTATTGGCTCTCGCTCATGGTTAGAGAACTACCCAACCCACAGGTCCACAAAGACTGGCCGATCTTACCCTGCAGGTTGAACCTAGGAATTGAGTGTTCAACTTCAAAATTCTTGTCATTAAAGGCCTGTGACAAAGGTGCATCTATTGGAGCGACATCGTCTCAAGCTTACACATCTCCCGGGTCTCTATTTGACTTTGTATTGTCTAGGAAGTCCACCCACACCTCCACTTCCACAAACTTCTGGGAGTTGCCTCGCTCTGCCTCACAGTCAGAATTCTCCTCCTGCTTCACGTTGCCTCCATCGATGTTAAGGTCCCATTGTGGAGTTGAATCTTCATCTTCACATTTTACCTTCACTTCTTCGCTCTTCACCATCACTTCTTCACATTTCACCTTCACCTCTTCATATTTCACCTCGATACCTTTAAAAGTGTCCAAGCTGGGATTTTGTTCCGGTTCTTGTTTCATGAGGGATGAGCTCATTGCGGCACTTTGACTTTCACAAGCTGATTTCAGACTCCATTCCTTGTGGATCTTCTGATGCTTGTGAGTTCTCTGGTGTACATGAAGATGTGGTGACTGTGCAAACGCCTTCCCACACACACTGCACTTGAAGGGTTTCTCTCCTGTGTGTGTTCTCTGGTGTATTTGAAGATTTGGTGAAAGTGCAAACGCCTTCCCACACACACTGCACTTGAAGGGTTTCTCTCCCGTGTGAGTTCTCTGGTGTCTTACAAGAGCAGATGGATCTGAAAACGCCTTCCCACACACACTGCACTTGAAGGGTTTCTCTCCTGTGTGTGTTCTCTGGTGTATTTGAAGATTTGGTGAAAGTGCAAACGCCTTCCCACACACACTGCACTTGAAAGGTTTCTCTCCTGTGTGTGTTCTCTGGTGTCTTTGAAGATTTGTTGAACGTGAAAACGCCTTCCCACACACACTGCACTTGAAGGGTTTCTCTCCTGTGTGTGTTCTCTGGTGTATTTGAAAATTTGGTGAAAGTGCAAACGCTTTCCCACACACACTGCACTTGAAGGGTTTCTCTCCTGTGTGTGTTCTCTGGTGTATTTGAAGATTTGGTGAAAGTGCAAACGCCTTACCACACACACTGCACTTGAAGGGTTTTTCTCCCGTGTGTGTTCTCTGGTGTCTTACAAGAGCAGATGGATCTGAAAACGCCTTCCCACACACACTGCACTTAAAGAGTTTCTCTCCTGTGTGCGTTCTCTGGTGTACTTGAAGATGTGGTGACTGTGAAAACGCCTTCCCACACACACTGCACTTGAAGGGTTTCTCTCCCGTGTGTGTTCTCTGGTGTTTTTTAAGAGTAGATGAATGTGCAAACGCCTTCCCACACACACTGCACTTGAAGGGTTTCTCTCCCGTGTGTGTTCTCTGGTGTCTTTGAAGATTTGGTGAAAGTGAAAAGGCCTTCCCACACACACTGCACTTGAAGGGTTTCTCTCCTGTGTGTGTTCTCTGGTGCGGTGTCAAATTTCCAGTACGATCCGTGTTGTTTGCAGGCCGGTCGCATTGTTGCCTTTTTGCACCAAGCCGCGCCGAGTGCCTTTGCTCCATCGGACAAATTCTGCAGACAGAAAGCGACAGCTGCAGACAGAAAAAAAGAATATAAACACCATCTACACGTCAGTATCGATGCACAGAGGAATGCATACACACAGTAACACGTGACTAACACGTATATACTTATTCATATATTCATGTTATAGTGAAAAAGTGCCCCAAATTCATCAAACGGGCTGTTATGGCACACAATGAGAGGGCAAATGGTCATAAACGTGCCTGGAAGCCCTAGTATCTTCAAAATGAATGTTAACCTAAAACTCCGAGCACACAATTTCGGATGTCTGGCTACAAAAGGAATATTTATGAAAGCTAAATTCAGCTGACATAGCAAAGGGTGTTGAAAATAATACTATTTGTGTTATGCATAAATGAATGTTTAATCGCAACTTAGAGGTGTGAAGCCAGGCACAGATGTCCTTGAATGCTGGGATGAACAGTTCTGATTTCAGCTGCACGTGTGCTGTGATAACTTCCCGACTACATTCAAACAAAGAGTTCCAGAGAAAAACAAAAATAAACTGTTTTGATATCACCTCCGTGCTCAATAGAGTTAATAGATTATGAGACCTCCTTTGCCAGTAACAAGATATAGTAATAGGTTTTACTCTTTTAACTGGAACAAAAAACTGACACCTTCATTCAAGGCATCATGTTTGCAATAACCACAACACAAGCAGTCAAAATGCAAACAATAGAGACAACTGATAATAAGCACTGTCCTTGAATTTGATTGGTCCACACCCGAGACGCCTTTTGGCGTCTTCTGTTTCAACACCAGTGGAGACTAGGTTCTAAGAAAAGCCGTCTCGGGTGTGGACCAATCAATTTCAAGGACAGTGCTTAGTATTATCAGAGTTGTCTCATTTGTTTGCATTTTGACTGCTTGTGTTGTGGTTATTGCAAACATGATGACTTGAATAAAGGGGTCAGTTTTTTTTGTGCCAGTTAAAAGGGTAAAACCTATTACTATATAGAGTTAATAGGCTTTACTGCACATACAAACTTGACACGATCACACACTCAGAGGCGGAGCCATGAGCAACCCCTCCAGCAATGAAACATTATGAGTTGTTTTGATTTAAAGCTTTCGTGACTGCAGTAATTCATATTCTTAGTTTTTTCGGTAAAGTCACGTTGAAGAGAAACAACAAAATATATATAAAACAATAAAAAAATTTCACGACGTTTCGACCATAACTCAAACGGTCATCATCAGGTGTGTCGGTTTGCATAAATTTATTTTTAAAACGGCACATTTATTTATTATTATTATTATTTATAAATAAATGTGCCGTTTTAAAAATAAATTTATGCAAACCGACACACCTGATGATGACCGTTTGAGTTATGGTCGAAACGTCGTGAAATTTTTTTATTGTTTTATATATATTTTGTTATTTTGTTGTTTCTCTTCAACGTGACTTTACCGAAAAAACTAAGAATATTATGAGTTGTTATTAAGTAAGGAGTTGTTAGTACGGAGTTGTTACCAAGGACTTGTCCTAATCCTTTTTATTCGACGTGTGTGATAGCCATCGCGCTCGCTGAAGGTGTTTGCCTTCAGGGAAGTCGTGTACTGTATACGCAACTGCACACAATTCTGTGAGTCGCTTGTAACTGCTTTGCCGTTACTTATTGCCAATTATGGACTCGGACTGTTGTCCTCTCATAGAGTCCCTGGCACGTAATAAAATGCCACACGGTGGCAGTGGGGGGGGGGGGTCGCAAAATGCTGATTTATCTATATATATAAAAGCGAAATGTGTGGATATGTGTCTGTTCGAAAGTGTTTAGCATACTTCCCAACATGCTACACACTTGAGATTTGGCATGTGGGTAGGTTCCATACTCTACACAATGTAAAAAGTATAAAAATAGACTTTTGTATTTTGGGGGGGGGGGTGGGGGAAATGACCATGGAGTGTGTGACGTCAACCCGCAACACACCTGAGTTAAGCGCTCTGCAATGCTTACCCCTACCATATGGCTCTTCGTGCACCGTACTTTTAGAGCTGTTAACAGCATGCCGGGAGATTTTAGGTGGTGCTTTGCTCCTGGCCGATGAAGCCATTGGCTTCTCGGAGTTTCAATACATATGGGTGCGAAGAACGGGTACAACGGCTATTAAATATAAAGCAGAAATAGCATCTGTTTGTGTGAAGCATCAAAACTATCCAACGCTGAGCTCTGGCATCATGAAAATTTCACAGCTTATGCTGTCTGGAATTTCTAAATGAACGCGACTATTTTCAGCTCGCCACGTCATTCCCTTCCGGAGTGGCCAAAATCGACCTTGCGTAGAAGTGGATTAAGGTTAAATTTCCTTGAGTGAAAACATCCGATTTAGGGAACTTGATTTGTTTCGGCTTTTTTCTTTCTTGCAAGCATCAAATTTTTTCAGGGGTTTTCAGTCAAAGATAAGGGAATATGAAATTTGAAATTTATCCAAGACAAGAATCCAAGTCCCGGGCGAAGCCGGGTAGTGAAGCTAGTTACTAATAAACCCCAATGATCCGATCGAAATTAGGGATTTCAATCGGACCATTGGGGGGGTACGTGCCACCCCACCGCCACTGGCTCCACCACTGTCACACACTGGCATGGTTCACAGGTGGTGGTGTGTCCAGACCCACGCCTGGCCACCTTCACCTGCTCAGTATTAATGGTTCCTCACTCCACAAAGTAATTCATTGAGGATAAATAAACACAGCTGAGGCTGCGTCTCTCTCTCTCTCTCCCCGTGGTCGCGTGGATTTCCTTCCCGATCCCCGGGTTTCCCCTCCATATGTAGAGAGTGAACACCACCACGCGTCTACAGTGAACACCGCCACGCGTCTAGAGTGAACACCGCCACGCATCTAGAGGGAACACCGCCACATGTCTAGAGTGAACACCGCCACGTGTCTAGAGTGAACACCGCCACCCGTCTAGAGTGAACACCGCCACGCGTCTAGAGTGAACACCGCCACGCGTCTAGAGTGAACACCGCCACGCGTCTAGAGTGAACACCACCACACTGTTCACGAGCCTCACCTTGTGTTGTGGGCAGGTCGCTTCTGAAAACAAAAGCGGCACAGCAGCTCAAGCGGGCTTGGCCTGGTAAAAAAAGAATGAAATAAAAACTGCGTGAATATTTAAAAGTAAAACAAAGTGACAAAGTGGCGAGCCGTGTGAAGACAAATTAAACTTAAGCGAGAGAATTGAAGCAAACGCGATCAGGCGAGGGCAGGAGGCAAGGCCCCGCGTGGCTAGGCCCCGCGCTGTAAAGTTCCAACCTGGACATCGCTTCCATGCTCGCTGCTACTCAATTGACATCCCTATGAGAGAGCGAGGCTCTACCTCGGTAAACAACAACCACCACCACCACAACCACCACCACCACAACCACCACCACAACAACCACTACCACAACCACCACCACAACAACCACCACCACAACCACCACCACAACCACCACAACAACCACTACCACAACCACCACCACAACAACCACAACCACCACCACAACAATCACCACCACAACCACCACAACCACCACCACCACAACCACCACAACCACCACCACCACCACAACCACCACAACAACCACTACCACCACCACAACAACCACAACAACCAGCACAACAACCACCACAACAACCACCACAACAACCACAACCACCACCACAACCACCACCACAACCACCACAACAACCACTACCACAACCACCACCACAACAACCACCACCACAACCACCACCACAACAATCACCACCACAACCACCACAACCACCACCACAACCACCACTACCACAACCACCACCACCACAACCACCACCACAACCACCACCACAGCAACCACCACAACAACCACCACCACAACCACCACAACCACCACCACAACAACCACAACAACCAGCACAACAACCACCACAACCACCACAACAACAACCACCACAGCAACCACTACCACAGCCACTCCCACAACCACCACCCCCACCACCACAACAACCATCACCACAACCACCACCATAACCACCACCACAACCACCACCACCAAAACCACAACAACAACAACCGCCATTCGCCACTACGTGGCGGTGACGTCAGCACGACGCTTGTGCCAGGCTATGTGCACCCTGAGGCCACGTGAAGTGTCGAACGCCCGCTGGCAGGAGGTCACGGGGCAGACCCAGGTGCCACGGGTCGACTGACTGAGATGACTGGCTGATGCACCACCTGTGCCCCCTACTGTGCCAACCTGCTGTGCTTTAGCCACCCGGCGCTCCGCTCGTTGTTCTGAGCGTCGCTCCTCCGTCCTCCGTTGTTGTTGGAGGGCGACTGCCTCCAACTGCCCAGTAGCATCCTTCACGAGCCTCCTCCACAGAGGCCGATCTTGACACCGCTGGTACCAGTCATCGGCAAGTCCACTCAGCTCCACGTCCTCCTGTACCACATCACTCCATCTCTTCTCCAGCCCGTGCCACGCCCGCTTAGCCCCCTCAATCCGGCCAAACAAAAGCTGTTTC